AACCCTTTGAGACGCTGGAGAGTGTCTGTGGAGGTGGAAGCGCCACCATCTGTCGTGTTGAACCGGGTGCTGCGAGAGCGCCACCTGTGGGATGTGGACCTGCTACAGTGGAAAGTGTCTGAAACACTAGACAAGCAGACAGAGGTGTTTCAGTATGTTCTCAATCGCATGCCCCCTCATCCCAGCAGAGACTTTGTAGTTCTCAGGTAAGTGGTTTAAAAACACCAAACAACACATTGTCCTTTGTTTGGAAGTAGCTGTAATTTCTTTTCTTTTAGGGTACATACTCAATCTCTTTCTGTTTATTCAAGGTCATGGAGGACAGACTTGCCCAAAGGTGCCTGCTCCCTTGTTTCTGTGTCTGTAGAGCATGAGGATTGTCCTCCTGTTGGAGGGGTACGAGCTATTGCCCTGGAGTCCAACTACCTGCTTGAGCCCTGTGGCTCTGGGAAGTCCAGACTAACTCATATCTGCAGAGTGGACTTAAAGTAAGTCCTGCAATAATCTTGTTGCAAGATTTAGATCTTTTAGCAAATGCTTAATTTTTTTTCTGACACATATAAAACGTATCAATATATATTGCATAAGATTTTAGTTTCATATTTATTTGAAGCTTGTTATACGCGCATGTACGCTGTATTAAATATGCTGTTTTGATTTCAGAGGAAGGACTCCAGATTGGTATAACAAAGCCTTTGGTCACCTTTGTGCCGCAGAAGCTGCCCGGATCCGCAACTCCTTCCAGCCACTAATCACGGACGGGCCAGAAACCAAAATCTGAAACTATTTGCCAGTTGTGTCTGCTCAGGCTTGAGATCAAGAGTGAGCCTTTAAGACATTGCTAACAGGCAGACACAAGGCATAGACAGGACCCCAGAACTAAAGCACAGTTTATTCAGTTTTTTTTATTCAGAGTACAAATGCTCTGAAAATTATTTTGAGCTCCTCTGTACTTGCACAAGGACAAAAAAAGGACATCTTATAGGTGCTGAGCATAATTACTCATTGGGAAATTAATCATCCTGCCAATATTGTTAGTATTAGGAATTTATTTACCTTGATGTTGCTAAACCTGTATACTATAATAATTATTATCTTTGATAATGTTATTGTTTTACTGTTGCTATAATCTACAATGTCTAGGACATTAAAGCTCTTAAATGCTTCTGGGAAGCATGTTATTCATTTTAGATTTAAAGCTATAATTATTATGATGTACACTCAAGTGTCTGTATATATGTGTGTGAATATACTGTACATGCAAACAAAATGTATATATTGTGAATATGTGAGGCGATAAATAGTACATATGTTAATTTCCTATATATTGATTCTTTCATTGTGTCAACCTTCCTGTAATACACATGGTACAAAATTGTAAGCTGGTTTTACTTTGCTTCAGTATTGCCATTTTTAATGGGTGTAATTTTATTAAACTTTGACCTCCTATGGTTGTGAAAAGAATGACTTAAGGTTTGACTTGATCATACCTGCTTTAGGGTACTGGATTGTGCAGTGTCAAGTACAATAGACATCATTTTTTAATAAAAAATATCAAAATTGTAAAACGTTAGTATGGACTGTTTCTTAATCTTGCTCTATTTCAAAGAGAAGAAACACTACATGTAAACGATTCAGTAATGGCATTTATTGTGTAAGGATTCTAAATACCTGTCAAGGACAGTTAATAACAAAAAATGTCAGAAAAGCTTCAACAAAAATGTTTATATACACAGCCAAAGAATCTAACTTAAAACACAAATCTCTCTGATCTGGGGACACAGGGACCTCTACTGGCCATTTGAAGGAAACACATGACTGCAGTCAACCCACTTGGGTGAATAGACTTAAATAGACACCTCATTTGACCTATATCTCATTTGTAATGCAAACACATCAGTGATTCAAAATTAAAAGCAAATGAAGACTGCAATTCATTTTGTCTGGCCTTTTCATACAAATTGTATCCAAAGGGAAAAACTTGGACTGAACACTTGAACCTGATTGTCCTTTTTGTCCACTAGATGGCTCTTTCTTATCAGTAGAATATTCATTTTTACTGTGGCCACATTTATTTTTTCCAGTGACAATGCTACTGAAATTAAATTCCTTTTTTCATGGGTATTTTTAATTACTTTCATCAGACAGTAGGGATGAGAAGATAGATATCCACTGCTAAGACATCTAACAAGGAAAAATAATAAAATAAATTTTAGGTGATGGCATGAAATATTATCACCATCTGGGATCTGTTCAAAACCTGACTGAGATAAAGATAGAGGTGATGGCAGCTCAGACATAATTAAAGTGTGTAAAAGGATCATTCACCCAAACCGTAACAGAATATAGTAGACCATACCGAAACAATAAATACACGGAAATCAACAATCCTTTGGCTGCATGAGTCTGGATCTGTTTGTCTGATTCAGTTCCCTATATTTGCTCTAAGTGTGTGAATGGCAAAGCCAATCCCCCTCCATTGACCTCTATCCAGCCCCACCAGGGTTTATGTTTCTTATTGGAATGGGGGCCAGTAAGCTTAATGCCAAAGATAGTAGGGTTTGAGTTCCTTGTAGTTATTTCCCACTGATTAAAAATACATTATTGGACACATTGCTATGTTTGGACAACAGAATAAAAACATGCAAAGGACTAATTCCGTAAGGATACAATAGCTATAAAGTATTTAGGACTAATTTAATACGGTCTGCATTATAGCATTATAAAGATACAGCATTCTGAGAAAACATTTACAACAGTTGTCAAAAGATACACGCAGGTGAGTAGGTTAAATGATGTGATTGTCAATTATTCTGCACTGCATTACAACAAATTAAATTAACTTTTTAAAGTGCACAGTACAGCTGTATAAAGCCCTACAATATTTTTTACATCGTTTGAAGCCATGCTGACACAGATCAGCTTAATGAGGTCATGAAATGCAAGCTCAGCTTCTGGCTGTCAGTCAGGAGGATGGACAGGATTGTTGCCAAGCTGTCAGTGTCAGTCTCTTTTATATAACCACTGGAACCTGATGGCTTTTTTTTTTGTCAAATTGTGTTTCTAATTTATTTATATATTTACATTTGTCCATGTTTTATTGTACGTGTAAAGTCGAACTACATAAATACAATATTTCTTGTCATTACCATTGTATCTTTTTTCGCATAAACAAACCACATATAACATACTGGAGAAGTTTAAGACAAAAGGCAGTAATAATGAATAACTTCTATCATGCAATTCTTTTGCATTTTGTTAATTAAAAAATTCAAAGCAATAATTAATTTGAAAGCAAACATTTTTCTGGCTTGGAGAGTAATAAAAATATGTAAATACTTAACATGCTTGATCAACAGAAGTGGATGCAAAAATAGCTAAATAAATAAACCAGGCAATTTGTGAATTTTCACAAATGTCGGTTCAATGTGTCAACAAACAGACCCTAATACCAACTCACCAGCAACATTGGGAGAAAACCTCACTTGTAGTTGACCAAGGGAAGCTGTAGCAGGATTTGTTGTATTGCATAGATGACTGTCCAGGGTCATCTTTTTGCCTGGCAGACTGACCAAAGAACTGTTCACACCTGGAGCTCAAACTGTAATGAAACTAGCACACATTATGTGAAGAGAGGACGAAATGATAAGATAATGATAACAAGTCAGATGGTTGCATGTGTGCCTGCATAATGTTCAGGTTCATGCATGGCTTTAGGCAAAAAAAAAATGGCCTGAGAGGTTTGGTGTCTACAGTGTCTTGATTAAATAAGATGTTTAAAGTAACCTAATAATAAAATAATAATTAGTCTAATAACCACTAAAACTAAACTATAAAAAATATAGGCTACATTTATGTCAACTTTCAATTTTTACGTCTTTGGATAGACAACTGGCCCTAAAAGACAAAAATTGTATTATATGGTTTCATGGTGGTACTTAAGTCAAATTACCATCATGATAACAAATTGGGAAACTTTTTTGTCAATGTTTTTTTTATCTATACATTTTTTTTAAATTTTAAAATGTGATTTATTAATTGTCTCTGCTGATCCAACTCCTGCGGAAAAGTTTTTACATGTGATTGGATTGCAGGTGTAAGAATACAAGCTCACTGTACTGGGAAACCTTAATGCGACAGAGCCGTGATTAAGTTATTAGGTACACCTGTGCTCTTCATACAATGACAAACGATAGTTAACTATGAATATTTCGCATTTAGATTTTTTTTTATCCAGTCTATTTTAGTATTATTTAAAATTATTTTATATTTCCCGTAAACACAATAATGCTTCTAAAACCTATATTTTTGACATCGGTGCGGAAACCTTAACTCAGGTAACTTCCGGCTTCCATCTTTGTTTCGGAATGAGTTGCTGTGCTGCGGCTAAATTTGCGCTAATCGGGATATTTTATTTAGTTTAACTCTACTCGGTAAAACCTAACCTGGCTGGCTCAACTCACTAAACTAGACACGAACTTTACAAAACGGACGTAGGTGACAACATATTGTCCTTAAGAATGTGGCCATGCGATACGCTACAGGAAGAACTCTGCACTTCGCTGCTCCCAGTCGCCAGGTGGACCGGACGGGGAAGCGACCTGCTAGCGGTCAGCCTCCAGATCTGCTGCTCCACCATCGCAGCCAGCGCAGGCGTGGTGAGTGGAACCGCAGGCAGGGGGCGGCAACATGGCGGTGACAGCAACACAGAAACGGAGACGCGCATCCAAGAGAGCGGCACAAACACATACACACAGGCTTGTGCACACAGCGCAGGTCAGTCAGCTCAGTTAACCGGCTGACACCGACAATACACCGGGCTCACTCACCGGAACTCTCGAGAGTGGATTTTTCTGACAGAGAGGGATTTCTTGTGTGTGTTTTGTTTTTGTTTTTAGGGGCTCCTCTTCTCCTTCATTTCTTCTTGATGCTCCAGAGCAGTGATTAAATATATTAAAAGGAGAAAGCGTATAACTATCTTCTGAAGCCTCTTGGTGGAAATGACAAGCGAGAGACCGGTGGCAATGCCGGGCTCGGTGTCGCTCTCGGACCGACAACCTCCTCCAGGTCACAGGCAGCACACGGCTGCAGTCTCCGCTGGCTCCAGTGAGACAATGATGATGTCCGCTTCAGGTTCAGTGGTCCTCCCGGCTGGGATTATCAATCCATCGGTTCCAATCCGGAATATCAAGATGAAATTTGCTGTTCTCATCGGACTGATCCAGGTTGGAGAGGTTAGCAACCGGGATATTGTTGAAACGGTGCTGAATTTGGTAAGTAAACATTTTTTCCTTCTTTCACTCTATGATCGGATATTATTGCCTTACTCAATGTCATCAAATAACAGAGCATACTGTTGACACAATGACAAAACACTGTTATTTTAACCTCGGGACAGTGTCAGTGATTATTAATTTATTTAGAGTATCACTTAGTGCCCCGGGATATGAGAGAGTGAACAGCAGTAAACATTCAAAAGTCACACATGCTCGCCCATTAGGTGAGTTGAGGGATGAGTGGATACTAAAACAAAGGCAGTTTTCAAGTTTCGAAGTTCAACAAAGTCTCAACTTCATGGTGTTTGCTTGCAAATTGACACATTGGTGTGGGCGGTGTCAGTGAAGGTAAAGTGCATACCTGCTGAGATTAAAGTGTAATGTGAGTACTTCATAGCTTGAATTCAAATGGCATCTATGCTGATAATTCAAATGGCATATATGCTGATGCAGAGTGATGGAGGTGAGCAGAGAACAGGGGGCATAGCTTCTGTCTCTGTCTCTGTCTCTCTGTGTGTGGATGTGCCAGGGACTACAGCTGTTGCTAAGATGTTTTCTTGGAGCCCAGAATGGCTAACATCCCTAAATAGAGGGTTCACAAACTGCTCAGTGTTTGATGAGCATTTGGCCAGTGCAGCTTCTATATTCTTGGTGTGTATTGGACCTGCTCCTAACTAAAGTGTGAGTACTTGTGGGAGTATGGTGGTCATCACTCTCTCCCCAAATGTATATTGCCCCAGGGAGTATTTTTTGTTTTGTACCCCCTCTTTCTACTCTTTAAACAGACCTAGGGTTCATTCTCATATATCATTGTATGATGATGATTATTATTATTACTGCAGCAGAGAGAGAGAGGAGATTGATAAGTAATGATTGTCAACACAAGGTGGTTGGGGATTTGAGCCAGGGTTAGCAAATGAAGCTAGTTTCTTCCATTGTTACAATTGAACATGATAGAGAGGAGTCTGTAGAGAAAGCTCATACCTTTGCTTTGACCAGTTGCAGGAGTACAACAGCAGATCCTGTTCGCAGTAGTTGGCCTCTCCTTGTTAGCACACTAGAGATTAATTACGACCTGTTCTGGCACAACAGAAATCCACTTTGTGGAGTGGGACAAATTGTAGCCCTCGGCATGTTCAGACATGAGAGTAGTACTGCAGTAGTTGAATTCTCTGACACCTTGCCCCCTCACACTTGCTATTGTGCACCGTGCTATTTTCACAGGAAATGTGCGTAAGGTACAACATGCTGTAGTGTACCGTGATTATTTTTTTCATCACTGATTGTGTAGACAAGAGATTGCTTGTTTATTTACACCAGATCCTGATCTTAAGTAATTTCTCCATCTTGCTTTATTATGATGACTTATTGAATTGAATGCAGACCATCAATGTCACAGTTGCCTTTTGCTCTTCTGTGCATGTTTTGTTTCACAGTATTGTGTGCATGCTACAAACAGTAGAGTGCACTTTGCCCAAACACTTCTTAGTTATATACAGGTCTCAAACTTTTGAATGACAGATTTAAATAAGAGAGATTTTAATGCTATGCTATGGTTTCAGTCAAATTTGATTCTACTTGACTTGTTTGCAAGCAGAAATACAGCTTCCATCCATATTATGTGCATTCAAATGAAACATGTATAATACAGCAATTTTGGGACCATGTGACACAGTAATTGTTATCATATCTGCCTCTTCATCTAAATCACAAAAGTTGCATGAATAATAGTAGCCATGAAAGATGGCAAGAGAAAGCTGTCATGCAAACCCTCCTATCTGTAAGATGTTATGACTGCAGGATTTTTTATGCTTATAAGTTGAGGTTATTTTTGAAGTGTAGAGCGAGTGTGAAGATCCTGAAGGATCCTCAACTGTATCTCATGGGGTCCAATTTGTGGTGTAATGAAATAATAATGTTTTTTCTCCATTTCCATGGAGCATCTTGGAAAAATTGTGGTTGGAGGATACTGGTCTGAACGTCCTTAATGAATAGTGTCTTATTCTTTTTTTTTTTTTTTTCATTTTGTTATTTAGCTGCGGTTCTTTTTGAGCTTCCAGGATGGGAAATTTCCCAATAAAATGGATCTGGTATTACTGCTCCAATACTAGAATGAGAGCCTTCTCAGCCTTCTGAGAAACCTGCCTCAAGAAATCAGGCACATTAGAAAGGTGTACTGAATCAGACACAAAACATCTTCTGAAGGTTAATCACTAAATATCAATGTTCCACAACCACCAACTCTGTACCTACACAATTCACTCTATACTGGTGTTTAGGTCTCATCAGATGTACATTTAGCAATTTATTCACTGCATTATTCATGTTTAGAGCCACGGGGATCTGGGGCCTTTCCAAACATATTATGAGCAGAAGTTGAAACACTGGACAGTTTGTGTTTTTATCTCAGGATTGATAAAGATACACTAATTATATACAACAAAAATGTGAATCGTATAATATGAAATACACTAAAAACATTTCATTACAGCATTTTCTTCATAATATTATGATATCAACAGAATCAACAGACATAATATTGAATTATAATGTGTTGACTTTTTGTTAGTAGTCAGCAATGATAGACTTACTTGCATAGAATTAGGTAGTTAGTGTATGACAACCTATTTGTGCTACTTTCCCTATTAAAGCACTGGATCAAAGTGGATTAAAGCTTGAAAAACTACTGGGACCAACTAGTTTTAACTATTTCCAGTCAGAACCAACCATAAGCTGATGGCTGCTTCTAAGAGCTGACCACTAGTAGGCTATACATCTAATCAAATTTGGTATAAGCCAGACAATATTGCTTGTTGTCTTCAAACTATGAAGTTGGAAACAAAGTGGATTTCTCACAGTCAGATGTGCAGTTTACAGTAGTCACCCCCTTTTGTTATCTGTTAGCTGACTCACTGCGCTTTCCAAGATGAGAAAATAGAAAGTTGATATTTTTACTTTGCTAATTGTCACTTGGTGTGACTCATTAAAGGAAGACTTATCTGACGAAAGAGAGAGTCACATTCCTCAACAGCCTACTTCTTCATGATCAAAGTTAAATATGATCTGATGCATGATGGTGTGAAAAGAAGTTAGTGTGACCTGTGAAATTAGGAAAAAGCTTTAACACCACATCTTCACCTTGATCCTGACATTTTGGAATAATGGAGTTCTCATGTGCCATCTTCAACTGGTTGATATTAACACAAAAGCAAAAAAATAAACTGTAGATATCCTTGACTGTCATCTCAGCTCAGAGTTACCACAAAACTTATTTTCTTCTGTAAAAGGATTCTCCTCACAAATTCTATTCTTTTAGTATTAATCAGTACCTTCCTGTAGAATTGAAAGGTGGGTGCATGACAGACCTAACTTTATTTCCTACCAGTTGTTCTCATGGTGAAAAAAACTTATCAAATCACTCATAGAACCTTGTCGGCTCTCTCAAATGAATTTGATCCATCATCTATTGTATGCTCCTGTTATATGTTCCTATTTTACCAAATATGTCAAAATAACTGTATCTGTAGCTTGCGTCTACATTTGCTTATGTTTGTCTCAAGAGACTGCATAAGCAAAGCTACAGACAGGTGATGTCTGCAGTATTTGACAGATTTGGATGAAAAAATGAGTGGGGGTGCCACTGAGTATGTAAAAGAACAGGGGACAAGAAGATTATGCTGTAGGAGGGGATTGATACATTTCTGCAGTGTGGATGTTGGAATTCATTTACAGAGACATGTAGATATGAATTGAATCTTTCCAGAGTTACTATTTTCCATAAAGAACAAAACTGCCCACATGGTCTTTCAAGCCTACAGGGGGTGAGTGTTGGAAACTAAAAAGATTTTTGGTTGATTATCACTTTAATGACATGCTTCACCTTGCTGACCAGCGCTCTGTAGAGGGGAAAATGTAATCTTCTACGGGGCTTTTAGTAAAAACATTTCCAGAAAACATTCTACTAACAGAAGCAGATTACTCTCGCTACTACAGTAGTCCCTTTTCCTCTGTGTCAGTGATTTTACAGTTAATCCTCTGTTACTTGCTCAGTCCTTACTGTAGGGAGGCCCACTTATCAATTATTTGACATGAATTTGTATTGCCAGCTTAGACAGAAAGCACTCCAGCATGCTGAGATACTTTTGAATGAAGAATTGACAGATTTTCAGTATTTCATTTTCCCTTACTGCTTCATTAAATACATGATCACCAATAGTTGCCAAATCAGTCATTTTCATTAGCGTAATGGCATTACACATGCTTCTACAATTATCCTTATGACAGGTGTAATGATGCACATTGGAATATGACTTGTAATCACTGATCCTTGCTGTTTGTGATTAAGATGCTTTCGAGAGCATGTTTACTGAGTCAAAAAAAAGAAAGGAAAAGCTCTAACATGAATCAATTTTTTAATATGAGAATTATTGTTGTATTGAAAGCCAAATTAGTCAGGATTCGGGCTGTTTATAAAAGGGTGATGTGACTGGAGAGTTGGCATACCTGAACCACATGAGTACTCTCCAGACTTGGTGTCAGCTGAATGCACTGGAGCTTAACTTATTATCTGCTCTAAACATGACTCTGACACTCAGCCTGTCATAATTAATGGTCAACCGGTTGAAACTGTGGGCAACATGAAGCACTCGGTATCAACCCTGTGTCCTAGATGTTATGTTTACACAATACACATTACAAAACTGTTTTCTCAATCATTTTGTGCTGTCAAACATCATAGCTGCTTTGTTCAGAGGCAACCTTTTCTGAGTGAATGAAGCACCACACTAGAGTAACAAGGAGGTGGTTGTGGTGGAGGATGGGTGTACAAAGCACGTACCACCAGAGCACAGGGTTCACATGATGAGTCCTGTCTGTGATGAGGTTTAGGCAACAAATGCCTAAGGTTAAAGAAAGATTGTGGTTTTGGTTAAATTTTAAAAAACGTGTGGTGATTTAAGCCACTGTGGACTTCTTTTGTTTTTAACCAAGACTATGAT